GTGGGGGGGGGGAGGCGGTGGGGGTGAGAGAAGCTGGAGGGCTATCCAGTGTAGGGCGTATTGTTTTTCAAACACGGGTGCCACAAACTAGTCCTTAGCGTGAGGAAGAGGGATGGAGGGAGGGGGTGAAGGAGAGTGATGGAGGGATGGAGTGAGAGAGAGGGATGGAGGGATGGAGTGAGGGAGAGGGATAGAGTGAGGGAGAGGGATGGAGGGATGGAGTGAGGGAGAGGGATAGAGTGAGGGACAACGACAACATTCATTACGTGTTCATTGTCTTATGTTGTCGTTGCCCTGTGTTGTTATTGTCTTATTTTGTTATTGTCATTTGTCGTCACTGTCCTTTGTTGTCGTTGTCCTATGTTTTCGTTGTCCTATTTTGTCATTGTCTTGTGTTGTTATTGCTCTATGTTGTCATTGTCCTATGTTGTCATTCTCCTATGTATTCATTGTCCTATGTTGTCATTGTCCTATGTTGTCATTGTCCTATGTTGTCGTTGGCTTATGTTGTCATTGTTCTATGTTTTCATTGCACTATGTTGTCATTGTCCTATGGTGTCATTGTCCTATGTTGTCACTGTCCTATGTTGTCGTTGTCCTATGTTTTCATTGCTCTATGTTGACAATGTCCTATGTTGCCATTGTTCTATGTTGACATTGTTCTATGTTGACATTGTTCTATGTTGACATTGTCCTATGTTGCCATTGTCCTATGTTGCCATTGTCCTATGTTGCCATTGTCCTATGTTGTCATTGTTCTATGTTGACATTGTTCTATGTTGCCATTGTCCTATGTTGCCATTGTCCTATGTTGTTATTGCCCTATGTTATCATTGCCCTATATTGTCATTGTCCTGTTTTGGCATTGTCTTATGCTGTCATTGTCCTACGTTGTCGTTGTCCTATGTTGTCATTGTCCTATTTTGTCATTGCTCTATGTTTTCATTGTCAGTCATGCTTGAGTCAACCATGTCATGCTGAAGGCAACTCTGTCATGCTCAAGACAACCCTATAAGGCTCAAGACAACAACTATCATGCTCATGACAACCTTATCGTGCTCAAGACAACCATGTCATGCTCTAGACAACCATATGCTGAAGACAACCCTATCATTCTCAAAACAACCCCTATCATGCTTAAGACAACTCTATCATGCTCAAGACAACCCTTTCATGCTCAAGATAATCCTATCATGCTCAAGACAACCAAATAATGCTCAAAACAACCCTAACCAGCCTCCTCTGGCGGTATAGTAATTATCATCATAAGTTTATGAGACCGAAGGTAGACTTGTTTATATTTAGGGTAAATATAGTTGAGTGCCCAAAATTTGTATCAAATATTCTTTAGCATGTCCGAAGAAGAGAGAAACTAGCTGTGTAACTTGTTGCTGTTGGCCTAATGCTGGGGGGTTTAGTACGGTAAGACTCGTGGTTGTTTGTTTTGTGTAAGAGGATGTGCTCTGTATCAACAACCAATGTATTTTTGCTAATGAGCGCGGGAAGACTGCTTAAAAGTCGACTGAAGTGAGGGGTGTGTAGCGGCATGGAGGCACTGGAGCGTTGAGAGGCTGGTGAGGGATCTCAGCTGGTGGGTGGCACCAGACACGTGCACTAGTGATAATAGCCCATTTCCTGCTCATGAAGGCCATTTAGCGCATTGTGAGGCTGTAAAGCTCATTGTAAGGGCACGCCACTTGTATAGTGTTTAAGAGAGAACGTGCCGGAAAACCCGACACCATTACTAATAATCAATACAATAGGCAGATAATATTGCTGCTGTTGTATAGACAGGTTACCCCATAGAAAATGTAGCTTGTAGTGGAATTTTCCATCAATAGAAAACGGGATATAAATGCCACATAGTGATATAAATTCACCAGCTATTCTGTTGGGAATTATACTTAATACAGTAGTCTTTGGACTTATTACATCATGAAACATCTCATTTGAATTAACTTAATTATCAGTATCAAAATAGAGTAAATGTGACCCTTCTACCACATATTGACATCTGAACAAAGAGAGCCAGGAGCGTCAGTGGTGGGGGAGGTCAGGCATTATTGTTAGACCAAGTCGCTGTGGAGCGAGTTCAGCTCCAATTAATTCTCTTGGACGAAGTGTTATGGAGATCAAATTAGTGCTTCTTCCATCATCAACAAGCAGTCAACATAAACAAGGGAAGTATCTTACCGAAACCCGTTTATCTAATCATTTCTGGCCAGTTAATGTTTGGTAGATATAGGGCGAGCTGGTTAGTATGAGAAACAGCATCTAAATACAGGTAATTAGTCCTTGGTGTTATATAATCATTACATCTTATACATATATATAATGTATATATATCGTACCTAGTAGCCAGAACGCACTTCTCAGCCTACTATGCAAGGCCCGATTTGCCTAATAAGCCAAGTTTTCATGAATTGTTTTTCGACTACCTAACCTAACCTAACCTAACTTTTTTGGCTACCTAACCTAACCTAACCTATAAAGATAGGTTAGGTTAGGTTAGGTAGGGTTGGTTAGGTTCGGTCATATATCTACGTTAATTTTAACTCCAATAAAAAAAATTAACCTTGTACATAATGAAATAGGTATCTTTATCATTTCATCAGAAAAAAATTAGAGAAAATATATTAATTCAGTAAAACTTGGCTTATTAGGCAAATCGGGCCTTGCATAGTAGGCTGAGAAGTGCGTTCTGGCTACTAGGTACGACATATATATACATATATATATATATATATATATATATATATATATATATATATATATATATATATATATATATATATATATATACATCTTATATAATATACAGTGTTTTCTCTGATATAGCTGTCATATATTAGGATTCCGGCTTTACAGCTAGTGCCCTTTGACAGGAACAAGAAGAGGAAGCAAGAATTAATCTTGGAACTTCAGTTACTTGGGTGATGGAAACTAGCCTCAAACGAGGATAATTTGGTGTCTACATCCTAGTTATACCTGGTGGACTAGGCCTACCATACAATAAGATAAGGCACCTCCAAAATTTATTTACTAATATGTAGTTTAACACTGTAGTTTGATTGACTGCATATATATAAATTTAATATACCCCCGTAATGTGTAAGGATCGATTTGTGAGAATTTTGCAGAAACACAGTCCACTAAACATCATACAAATTGCTATCGAAATATATAAATTAACGTAAATATAAACTCATATAAATTAAATAAATATAAATCTCACAGGTCGGTTCCCACATTATATGGTCCTTTGAACCAAGATAATACAGAACCGGTTCGAACCTCCAAAATTATATTGTCATTCGAACCTAGATGGTCCAGAGAGCTAGATTATCATCAAATTAATTAAACCAGTGTAATAAATTAGTGAACAATACATCGCCAGTCAAAGACTGGCAGCATAGCCTGGAGCGAGCTCAAGAACCCTTCAGCCCATCCCAGCCTCACTCAGCGTTTTCATGGGTGTCAACCACCAATTGGTGGGTTGTTATTCCGTGAAGTGACAGCGCTTATTTTGAAGCCAGCCAAATTGGTGGCTGCGCCCTGGCAAGATTATCCACGAATTTGTGGTGTTAATTTTACGAGAGATTATCCACGAATTTTGTGGTGTTAATTTCGCGAGGTCATTAATAATATTTAATATTTCTAGATAATACTAGAGGCTAATTAAGATGCTATGAAATGATGCTATGCGCTGCTATTTTAGATGATGATGCTAGATGATGATATTTAGATGGAGATGCTATGCTATTTTACTGCTAGGTAACAGGGGCATAGGGTGAAAGAAACTCTGCCCATTGTTTCTCGCCCTCAGGGCTTCGAACCCAGGACCACAAGACCACAAGTCCAGTGTGCTGTCCGCTCGGTCAACCGGCTCCCTACCAAGGAAGCAAGAATTAATCTTGGAACATCAGTTACTTGGGTGTTATATTTAGTGTCTACATCATAGTTATACCTGCTGGACTAGGCCTACCATACAATAAGATAAGGCACCTCCAAAATTTATTTACTAATATATGTAGTTTAATACTGTAGTTTGCTTGACTGCATATATATAAATTTAACATAAACTCCCCCTTAATGTGTAAGGATCGATTTGTGAGAATAATTGCAGAAATACAGTCCACTAAACATCATACAAATTGCTATCGAAATATATAAATAAATTTAATATAAATTCTACATAAATTCATATAAATTAAATAAATATAAATCTCACAGGTCGGTCCCCACAGAACTTGATGAAAACCTCTATATAATACCCTGATCAACCAGGCTGTGATTCATACGTCAGGCTGCCAGCAGCCGCGTCCAACAACCTGGTTGACCAGTCCAGCAACGAGGACTTAGCATCCCCGCGGCCTGGTCGAGGACCGGGCCGTGGGGACGCTAAGCCCCGAAATCATCGCAAGGTAACGTAAGGTAATCATACTCATGACAACCCTATCATGCTCAAGACAACCCTATCATGTTCAAGACAACCCTATCATGCTCAAGACAACCCTATCATGTTCAAGAAAACCTTATCATGGTCGAAACAACCCTATCATGCACCAGGCAGCTGTGTCATGCACGAGGCAACGATGTCATGATAAATTGTTATGACAATGAGAATATTGATCTTATGTTTCTGTATTCGCCATTCCTTACCTTGCGCTGATTTCGGGGATCCACGTCCCTGCGGCCCGGTCTCTAACCAGACATCCTGGTTGCTGGACTAGTGAACCAGGCTATTGGTGGCGGCTGCTCGCAGCCTGATGTGTATATCACAGCCTGGTTGATAACACTCACCAGGAGCACTCACTTCCCACTGTACCATGATGAGCCTCAATGTGTCCAGTAAGGTAGAGTGTGTAAGGTGGGGAACGCTGTGAGACGTCCATCCTGGAACAACATGTGGTCGTGTGTGTAATGTCCACATAGTCGTCCTGGGAAAAAAATGAGATGTGTAATATGGTGGGATGGGCTTCCTGTTGAGGGAGCGTGAGGTATATAAGGGCTGTGAGCCTCACCACTCACACTACACCAGCACACACCCGCCAGCATGGCCAAGCTTCTCCTACTCCTCCTGACTGTGAGTATTAGTCTAACTTCTCATTAATGTCATCGTCTAAAACTGAAGTTAAAGTTTGATGTTAACTCTTAAAACAATCATTTAAGTAACTTTTTGTTACACTTGTAGCTGTAAACTGTTGTATATTAACTTTAAAATGATCATCTACACAATGAAAGTTTAATTTCCAGGAAAGATATGGGAAACAGCATATTCAATTAAATAGATTCATAACATAGCTACACACATGTCGAACACTTAATATAGCTACACACAAGTCGAACACTGAGCATAGCTAAACACATGTCGAACACTTAACATAGCTACACACATGTCGAACACTTAACATAGCTACACATGTCGAACACTTAACATAGCTACACATGTCGAACACTTAACATAGCTGCACATGTCGAACACTTAACATAGCTACACATGTCGAACACTTAACATAGCTACACATGTCGAACACTTAACATAGCTACACATGTCGAACACTTAACATAGCTACACATGTTGAACACTTAACATAGCTACACATGTCGAACATGTGAAATTTTATAATTCATATATGAGAGCTTCTCTACGATTACATTTGTCGTCAGACAGAATATTTCGTTTACTTTTAATAATACTATATGTAAAAGTTAAAAAAAATTGAATTTGAATGCGTTAGGGCTTATTCTTAACTTAGGAAAACTTAACTAAGAACAAGCCTCAAGTTTGAAATAAGATTGCCATTAAAATGGCACTAAATCGTTAAATAACCTAACTGCTTTTGATCTATATTGCGGATTTAAAGACGAATGTCATTTTGCACACAGATCATTCCTAGATTTTATGCAAACTTGACAGAGTTCGCGTGCACCAGCCAGGGTCAGAGCCTTGTTTAATTTTTGTTTTGGGTTTTAGCTTAAAAAAAAATTACTTTAATTTGTACTATTGTACTACTGAACAATGTAATTTTTATTAGATTGTTAAGTATTTTGTAAGAAGATGTTAAGTTTCGTGAAATCTTCGAGTTGTCTTAGGCACATGTGTACTACAGGCAGTTAAGAAGATAATCGGCGGCGGAGTCCAGTGTACACCAGGGACTGTGACCTCATGGTTCACCCCCTACCCCTGTGGTGGAATCCTGTGTACTCCAGGGACAGTGACATCCCGGTAACCCCCCCCCCCGGGCGGTGGAGTCCGGTGTACACTAGGGACAGTGACATCACGATACCCCCCCCCACGGGCGGTGGAGTCCGGTGTACACTAGGGACAGTGACATCACGATACCCCCCCCCCCCACGGGCGGTGGAGTCCGGTGTACACTAGGGACAGTGACATCACGATACCCCCCCCCCCCTCGGGCGGTGGAGAACGGTGTACACTAGGGACAGTGACATCACAGTACCCCCCCCCCCCGATGATGGAGTCCGGTGTACACCAGGGACAGTGACATCACGGTACCCCCTTCCCCCCCCCCCGGGCGGTGGAGAACGGTGTATACCAGGGACGGTGACAACACAGTACACCTCCCCCGCGCGGTGGATTCTGGTGTACTCCAGGGATTGTGACATCACGGTACTACCCTCCCCCGGGCGGTCGAGTCTGGTGTACACCAGGGACTGTGACATCACAGTAGCACCCCTCCCCGCCCGGTGATGGAGTCCAGTATACTCCAGGGACTGTGACATCACAGTAGCACCCCTCCCCGCCCGGTGATGGAGTCCAGTATACACCAGGGACTGTGACATCACAGTAGCACCCCTCCCCGCCCGGTGATGGAGTCTGGTGTACACCAGGGACTGTGACATCACAGTAGCACCCCTCCCCGCCCGGTGATGGAGTCTGGTGTACACCAGGGACTGTGACATCACAGTAGCACCCCTCCCCGCCCGGTGATGGAGTCCAGTATACTCCAGGGACTGTGACATCACAGTAGCACCCCTCCCCGCCCGGTGATGGAGTCTGGTGTACACCAGGGACTGTGACATCACAGTAGCACCCCTCCCCGCCCGGTGATGGAGTCTGGTGTACACCAGGGACTGTGACATCACAGTAGCACCCCTCCCCGCCCGGTGATGGAGTCTGGTGTACACCAGTGACTGTGACATCACAGTAGCACCCCTCCCCGCCCGGTGATGGAGTCTGGTGTACACCAGGGACTGTGACATCACAGTAGCACCCCTCCCCGCCCGGTGATGGAGTCTGGTGTACACCAGGGACTGTGACATCACAGTAGCACCCCTCCCCGCCCGGTGATGGAGTCTGGTGTACACCAGGGACTGTGACATCACAGTAGCACCCCTCCCCGCCCGGTGATGGAGTCTGGTGTACACCAGGGACTGTGACATCACAGTAGCACCCCTCCCCGCCCGGTGATGGAGTCTGGTGTACACCAGGGACTGTGACATCACAGTAGCACCCCTCCCCGCCCGGTGATGGAGTCTGGTGTACACCAGGGACTGTGACATCACAGTAGCACCCCTCCCCGCCCGGTGATGGAGTCTGGTGTACACCAGGGACTGTGACATCACAGTAGCACCCCTCCCCGCCCGGTGATGGAGTCTGGTGTACACCAGGGACTGTGACATCACAGTAGCACCCCTCCCCGCCCGGTGATGGAGTCTGGTGTACACCAGGGACTGTGACATCACAGTAGCACCCCTCCCCGCCCGGTGATGGAGTCTGGTGTACACCAGGGACTGTGACATCACAGTAGCACCCCTCCCCGCCCGGTGATGGAGTCTGGTGTACACCAGGGACTGTGACATCACAGTAGCACCCCTCCCCGCCCGGTGATGGAGTCTGGTGTACACCAGGGACTGTGACATCACAGTAGCACCCCTCCCCGCCCGGTGATGGAGTCTGGTGTACACCAGGGACTGTGACATCACAGTAGCACCCCTCCCCGCCCGGTGATGGAGTCTGGTGTACACCAGTGACTGTGACATCACAGTAGCACCCCTCCCCGCCCGATGATGGAGTCTGGTGTACACCAGGGACTGTGACATCACAGTAGCACCCCTCCCCGCCCGGTGATGGAGTCTGGTGTACACCAGGGACTGTGACATCACAGTAGCACCCCTCCCCGTCCGGTGATGGAGTCCAGTATACACCAGGGACTGTGACATCACAGTAGCACCCCTCCCCGCCCGGTGATGGAGTCTGGTGTACACCAGGGACTGTGACATCACAGTAGCACCCCTCCCCGCCCGGTGATGGAGTCTGGTGTACACCAGGGACTGTGACATCACAGTAGCACCCCTCCCCGCCCGGTGATGGAGTCTGGTGTACACCAGGGACTGTGACATCACAGTAGCACCCCTCCCCGCCCGGTGATGGAGTCTGGTGTACACCAGTGACTGTGACATCACAGTAGCACCCCTCCCCGCCCGGTGATGGAGTCTGGTGTACACCAGGGACTGTGACATCACAGTAGCACCCCTCCCCGCCCGGTGATGGAGTCTGGTGTACACCAGGGACTGTGACATCACAGTAGCACCCCTCCCCGCCCGGTGATGGAGTCTGGTGTACACCAGGGACTGTGACATCACAGTAGCACCCCTCCCCGCCCGGTGATGGAGTCTGGTGTACACCAGGGACTGTGACATCACAGTAGCACCCCTCCCCGCCCGGTGATGGAGTCTGGTGTACACCAGGGACTGTGACATCACAGTAGCACCCCTCCCCGCCCGGTGATGGAGTCTGGTGTACACCAGGGACTGTGACATCACAGTAGCACCCCTGCCCGCCCGGTGATGGAGTCTGGTGTACACCAGGGACTGTGACATCACAGTAGCACCCCTCCCCGCCCGGTGATGGAGTCCAGTATACACCAGGGACTGTAGCATAACGGTACCACTCCCAGGCGTTGGAGTCCAGTATACAACAGGGACTGTGACATCACGGTGCTATCCCCCCCCCCCCTCAGGGCGGTGAAGACCGGTGTACACCAGAGACTGTGGCATAGCGGTACTACACCTCCCCACCCCCGCAAGCCGCTCTCGCACAGGACAGCACATATATGACTTATTGCTTATAGTCAATATTTTGCCTATGAATTAGTACATATGTGGTATATTCCCAGTTACTTTTTTCAAGGCCCAAACTCTTCCTCGTGTACCAATTTACGTCTCACAGAACCCACATGGGTTGTGAAATTTACCTGCTATTGTCCATGCTCTTAGAATATTACATATCACCTACATTCTATTGAAGGTTCATAGTTTTGTTTTGAGAAATATTAGTTGTTCTTAGTAAATTATAATAAGGACTATTATTTATTACATAAAACAAAAGTGATTCACCTATCAACATTATATACACTAGTTTGTGCTTTAAAAATCTTTAAAGGATGTAATGTAGAAACGTCAACAGAAAACGATGTTACGTTGGAATGTTTATGGGGTAAACTACTGCAAACAGGATAGTATAGAGTCTACTACCTATTGAAGGATGGGTATAGGGTCCACCACCACCTGTTAAGTGGGTAAGGGGTCCATACCACTTGTAGGGTGGGTCTGGGCCCAACAACTGCATATAGGATGGGTATGGGGATCACTATCATCCACAGGATGGGTATGGGATCCACTACCGCCTAATGGATGGGTATATGGTCATCTACCACCCACAAGATGAGTATGGCGTCTACTACCGCCTGCAGGATGGTTATGGGGTCCACTACGGCCAACCGAATGGGTTTGAGGACCACTATCATCTACAGGATGAGTATGGAGCCCACCACTGCCCACTGTATGGGAATATGTTCCACTTCCGCCCAAAGGATGTATGTGGTGACTACCATAGCGCCCACAGGATAGGTATGGGGTCAATAATCACCAACAGGAAGAAAATTGTGTCTACTACCGCCCACAGGATGGGTTTGGACTCCATTGCCGCCCACAGCATGAGAATAGGATCCAGTACCGTCCACGGAATGGGTATATGCTTAACTACAGCCGACAGGATGAGTATATCGTCTACTACCGCCCACAGGACGGGTATGGAGTCCACTACCGCCCTCATGGTGAGTATTGGTTCCAATACCGCCCACAAGATGGGTATGGCGCCCACTGCCGCCCACATGATAAGTATTGTGTCCGCTACCGCCCAAAGGACGGGTATGGCCTCCACAGCCGCAAACAGGATGAGTATAGGGTCCAGCACCGCCCACGGGATGGGGTATGGGCCCATTACCGCCCACAATATGCTAATGGGGTCAAGTACCACCCGCAAGATGGGTTTGGGGACCACTATTATCCGCAGGAAGGTCCACTACCGCTGGCAGGATGGCTTTGGAGACCACTATCTTCCACAGAAGTGGTATGGGGGTCCACTACCACCCACAGCGTGGGTATGGGGGTCATAGCCAAGCACTGGATGGGTATATGCGCCTCTACTGCCCACAAAATGAGTATGGGGTCCACACCCTCCTACAGGATGGATATATGTTCCACTGCCGCCCACATGATGGGCATGGGGTCCACTATCACCAACAGGATGAGTATATTGGGTCCACTACTGCCAACAGGATGGGTATGGGAGTTATAATTATAATAAGCACAATTAGATTATTAACTTTATTATTACTTATTAAGTTTATTACTACTAATTATTTATTATAATTAAGTACCTAATTTCATCTTCATAGCTTCCTACTCCGTGCATTAAAATTGCTCTGTATCCAGTGTTACCCAATCTCCCAATCTTACAATGGTCGACAACCACTCACACAATGGGTATGGAGGGGGTGGGCCACTACTACCCACAGGATGGGCATGGGGTCCACTACCGCCCACAGAATTAGTATGGGGTACACTACCACCCACAGGATGGGCATGGGGTCCACTACTGCCTACAGGATGGCCACGGGGTCACTGCCACCCACATGATGGGTATGGGGTCCCCCTACGCCCGCAGGATAGATATGGGGTCCACAACCACCGACGAGATGGGTATGAGGTCCAGTACCGCCCACAGAATTTATATGGGGTCAAATAGGGCCAACTGGGTGGGTATGGGGGTTACGTCCATCTACAAGATGGGTATATGCTCCACTACCGCCCAGAAAATGAGTATGGGGTCCACTACCGCCCACAGGATGGGTATGAGGTCCACTACCGCCCATATGATGGGTATTGGGTCGACAACTACTCACAGGATGGGTATGGGGGGGGCCACTACCACCCACAGGATGGGTATGGGGAGGTCACTACCACCCACAGGATGGGTATGGTGTCACTTCCACCCACAGGATGGGCATGGGGTCCACTACTTCCCACAAGATTGGTATGGGGTCCACTACTGCTTACAGGTTGGATATGGGACCACTACCACCCACAGAATAGGTATGGGTCCACTACCACCCACAGGATGAGTTTGGGGTCCAATACCGCCCACAGGATTGGTATGGGGTCCACTACCGCCCACAGGATGGGTATGGGGGCCACGTCCATCCACAGGGTAGATATATGTTCCACTGCCGCCCCACATGATGGGCATGGGGTCCACTACCACCAACAGGATGAGTATATTGGGTCCACTACTGCCCACAGGATGGGTATGGGAGTTATAATTATAATAAGCGCAATTAGTTTATTTACTTTATTATTACTTATTAAGTTTATTATTACTAATTAATTATTATAATTCAGTACCTAATTTCATCTTCATAGCTTCCTACTCCGTGCATTAAAATTGCTCTGTATCCAGTGTTACCCAATCTCCCAATCTTTATGTACTTATTCCTACAAAATTTACCATTGTGATCATTGCTGTTTTCTTATATGTGCTAGCAATATACTGTATTGTGCCTATTAATCTTTGCTAAATTACCATTCAAGCAGTCAATGCAATCCATCTGAGCTACCTCAGCCCATGTCTGTTATTTATTTATTTATTTATTTTTTTTTTTTTAATCAACACTGTTTGTCAACCTATTGTATTTGTGCTGCTTTTTCAGTCATGTTCCCCCTTTTTTTTTATCTTTATTTGTATTTGTTCTCAACACTTTTTATTCTTTATGCTCAATTAGTATTAAGTTCTAGATATTAATGTTTTTCTTGCCCGAAACGCATTGCGTAATAGTGGCTTTAGGCATTGTATGTACTAGCTCTATCTATATATCAATCCATTAATGTAACATCACTTGTATGTATGTACCTTACCTGAATAAACATATTTATTTATTTATATTTACCTATGTGCTTTAATATACATACAAATCTCTCTCATCTCATTTTTTTCTTGCAATGCACTTGTTATCAAAGAAAAGCAACAAAGTAATACATAATCAACTCCGTGTAACTTACCTTGTCTTCTAAATGTCAACATATGTCAGTTCAGTTCATGCTGTTGACCTCAATTAGTCTTAAGTCTTAGTTTTTAAGGTTTTCACAGATCTTGCCCAAAACGCTGTGCGTATTAGTGGCTTTAGGCATAGTATATACTTGTTCTTTCTTGAAATTCAACATTCTACTTGCAACTCCCAACACCACCACCACTTCCAGAACCAACACCCCCGTGGGAAGTAGTGGAATTTATATCAATCCTTGAGCTGTAGTTGACCCCATACCCATCTTGTGGGTGGTAGTGGACCCCATACCCATTTTGTGGGTGGTAGTGGACCCCATACCCATCTTGTGGGTGGTAGTGGACCCCATACCCATCTTGTGGGTGGTAGTGGACCCCATACCCATTTTGTGGGTGGTAGTGGACCCCATACCCATTTTGTGGGTGGTAGTGGACCCCATACCCATATTGTAAGTGGTAGTGTACCCCAAACTCATCCTCTCATCCTGTGGTTCTCTCATTTAAAATGTAAAAAAATTCAACTATATTCTAACAATACACGCTGAGGCTTAATATAGTTCATATGTTTGCTATACTAGGGAAATGGAATTTAAAGTTTGTTTGTTGCTTCATTTTTGTTGGACTATATAAAGTGAATAGTACTGTCTAATTACTTAGTACGTCAATAATTGTACTATGGTGCACACAGTTACAGAAAAGTACTATCTAAGCAAAAGGATGGGTTGTCATTGTTCATAACTTATGTATTTTTTCTGGTTGGTCAGCGAATAATTGTGGTGGCCTTAGTAATGCTTGAGAGGCTTTTAGGTTTTAACCTCAACTCCAAACCAATTCCTTTAGAATATTTGGAAATATACACTGTATATGCAGTGAATATCCACAAAAAATATATTTAATGCTGGACAATGTTCAAGACTAAAGTATACTTGCAAATTTTGAGTCAGTGATCAATGTTTCCGGCCACTATTCTACTTTAATACTTCTATAACTTATATTACTATAATAATTACAAATTTCAATGTTACTGTTATAAATTACTATTATTAGTTCCTATTAATGAGAACTGTTTGTCCCCTGACTGAAGGTTGGAACGTGCTGCTGGGCTCAGATTCTCGTCAGTCCTCCCTCACGCAGCTGCGACGAGTTGGTGAGTGTCTACGTCTCTCATTTACCTTTTACCTTTCCTTTAACGCAGACATATATATATATATATATATATATATATATATATATATATATATATATATATATATATATATATATGAATGAAAACTCACACCCCAGAAGTGACTCGAACCCATACTCCCAGAAGCAACGCAACTGGTAACTACAGGGCGCCTTAATCCGCTTGACCATCACGGCCGTCAAAAGGAAGTGATAGCCGAGGCTATTTGAGCCACTTCCCCGACGGCAACTCGGATGGTAATCTTGGGCATAGCATTTCACCAAATCACCTCATTCTTTGGGGCACACGTGAGGAACACAAATGCGAACAAGCCTGAATGGTCCCCAGGACTATATGCGAATGAAAACTCACACCCCAGAAGTGACTCGAACCCATACTCCCAGAAGCAACGCAACTGGTAACTACAGGGCGCCTTAATCCGCTTGACCATCACGGCCGTCAAAAGGAAGTGATAGCCGAGGCTATTTGAGCCACTTCGGCTATCACTTCCACTTTAGCCACTGGTGATAGATAGACCGAGTGATAGCCACTCGGCTATCACTTCCTTTTGACGGCCGTGATGGTCAAGCGGATTAAGGCGCCCTGTAGTTACCAGTTGCGTTGCTTCTGGGAGTATGGGTTCGAGTCACTTCTGGGGTGTGAGTTTTCATTCGCATATAGTCCTGGGGACCATTCAGGCTTGTTCGCATTTGTGTTCCTCACGTGTGCCCCAAAGAATGAGGTGATTTGGTGAAATGCTATGCCCAAGATTACCATCCGAGTTGCCGTCGGGGAAGTGGCTCAAATAGCCTCGGCTATCACTTCCTTTTGACGGCCGTGATGGTCAAGCGGATTAAGGCGCCCTGTAGTTACCAGTTGCGTTGCTTCTGGGAGTATGGGTTCGAGTCACTTCTGGGGTGTGAGTTTTCATTCGCATATAGTCCTGGGGACCATTCAGGCTTGTTCGCATATATATATATATATATATATATATATATATATATATATATATATATATATATATATATCGTACCTAGTAGCCAGAACGCACTTCTCAGCCTACTATGCAAGGCCCAATTTGCCTAATAAGCCAAGTTTTCATGAATTAATTGTTTTTCGACTACCTAACCTAACCTAACGTAACTTTTTCAGCTACCTAACGTAACCTAACCTATAAAGATAGGTTAGGTTAGGTTAGGTGGGGTTGGTTAGGTTCGGTCATATATCTACGGTAATTTTAACTACAATAAACAAAAATTGACCTCATACATAATGAAATGGGTAGCTTTATCATTTCATAAGAAAAAATTTGAGAAAATATATTAATTCAGGAAAACTTGGCTTATTAGGCAAATCAGGCCTTGCATAGCAGGCCAAGTATGACGTTCTGGCTACTAGGTACGACATATATATATATATATATATATATATATATATATATATATATATATATATATATATATATATATATATATATATATTAGTATATTTTGGTAGCAGTCTTTCCTGTAGACATATATTATTAAATATGACCGAAAAAGTAAGATTAATAATTCAAACACGAATTTTCTCAATCTTTCGTACATTTCTTTTCACTGTTGGAGGTAAATCAAAAATCAATTCTCCAAAATTCATTTTTATTTCTAGTCTGACGCGACACGAGCGCGTTTCGTAAAACTTATTACATTTTCAAAGACTTTAGTTTACAAATACACAACTGAATAGAACTTACTCATCTCCGATTTTATATCTACATTTGAGTGAGGTGGAAGGGGTGATGTGGCATTAATCAACACAAGACAGAACAAGATGTGATATTAATAGGGTATTAATTTCATCAACACAAGACAGAACAAGCGGTGACATGAATAGGGTATTAATTTCATCAACACAAGACAGAACACGAAACAATGGGTATTTGAATAGAAGTGTTTGTAGAAAGCCTATTGGTCCATATTTCTTGATGCTTCTATATTGGAGCGGAGTCTTGAGGTGGGTAGAATATAGTTGTGCAATAATTGGCTGTTGATTGCTGGTGTTGACTTCTTGATGTGTAGTGCCTCGCAAACGTCAAGCCGCCTGCTATCGCTGTATCTATCGATGAAAACAACATCTATCGATGAACATCAACATCAACATCTATGTATCTATCTAGTAAACAACACAGAAATCATCGATAGATACAGCGATAGCAGGCGGCTTGACGTTTGCGAGGCACTACACATCAAGAAGTCAACACCAGCAATCAACAGCCAATTATTGCACAACTATATTCTACCCACCTCAAGACTCCGCTCCAATATAGAAGCATCAAGAAATATGGACCAATAGGCTTTCTACAAACACTTCTATTCAATACCCATTGTTTCTGTTCTGTCTTGTGTTGATACTTTTAATACCCTATTAATATCCCCTCTTGTTCTGTCTTGTGTTAATGCCACATCACCCCTCCCACCTCACTCAAATGTAGATATAAAATCAGAGATACGTAAGTTCTAATCAGTTGTGTATTTGTGAAGTCTTTGAAAATGTAATAAGTTTTACGAAACGCGCCCGTGTCGCGTCAGACTAGAAATAAAAATGAATTTTGGAGAATTGATTTTTGATTTACCTCCAACAGTGAAGCGTAATGTACGAAAGATTGAGAAAATTCGTGTTAGAATTATTAATCTTACTTTTTCGGTCATATTTAATAATATATATATATATATATATATATATATATATATATATATATATATATATATATATATATATATATACATATGTTGTACTTAGTAGCCAGAATGTCGTACTCGGCCTACTATGCAAGGCCCGATTTGCCTAATAAGCCAAGTTTTCCTGAATTAATATATTTTCTCAATTTTTTTTCTTATGAAATGATAAAGCTACCCATTTCATTGAGCTACGAGGAAAGGCTAAAGGAGCTGAACCTCACGTCCCTGGAAAACAGAAGAGTAAAGGGAGACATGATAACCCAGCAAACACAAAATGTTGTGGAAACCTTCATCAAAGTTTCAACATGGTGCCTCGTAGCCTGGTAGATAGCGCGCAGGACTCGTAATTCTGTGGTGCGGGTTCGATTCCCGCACGAGGCAGAAACAAATGGGCAAAGTTTCTTTCACCCTGAATGCCCATGTTACCTAGCAGTAAATAGGTACCTGGGAGTTAGTCAGCTGTCACGGGCTGCTTCCTGGGGGTGGAGGCCTGGTCGAGGACCGGGCCGCGGGGACACTAAAGCCCCGAAATCATCTCAAGATAACCTCAAGATGGTTGTGGGAGAGATAAGTTTCATGTGTGGTTCAACAAGCACATGAGCAACCTTTAAACGAAAAATGGTTATAGTATTTCTTTATGTAATACAGCAAATGCTGCCTTTTCTTACACAAATTTCACCTTTATATATTAAAAAAAATATTTTGTTCATGTTTAAATACTAAATTTATGTACATTATACATATAAATTGTGAATGCTTTGTCTTAGTTGTATGATAGGTGTACAAAACATTTATTTTTTATTATGATCTTGCTAAAAAAAATTTATAACCCTGTTTGCTAAATGATGTATTCAGTAATACTGTTTTTATGTTTAAATTATATTTTGGTACTTTATGCATAATACATCAACATAAATGGAAAATGCTTCTGCATAGGTGTATGAAGGACACACGCAACATTTAAACTACCATTTTTTTAATAAAAAATTAGAGTACATCAAAATACCTTTTTATCACATGTATTATAGTAAATTTTACATTAATATATTACTGAAGTACAAATAGGTGAGTACAACTAGGAAAGTACAACTATTTGAGTGAAACTAGGAGACATGTAGTTAGGTGAGTACCCCTTGGTGAACACTGCTAGATGAATACAAGTAGGTGAGTACAACTACATGAGAACAACTAGGGGAGTGCATGTAGGTGAGTACAACTTGGTGAGCACTGTTAGGTGAAAACAAGTAGGTGAGTACAACTTGGTGAGCACTGTTAGGTGAATACAAGTAGGTGAGTAACCTACTCACTCATAACACAAGAGCAACTAGTGTACTGTACAATGCCAGTTTAACAGACACAATAGTCCACACTAGCATGGTGTACAATGATAGTTTAACAGACACAATAGTCCCCACTAGCATGGTGTACAATGATAGTTTAACAGACACAATAGTCCGCACTAGCATGGTGTACAATGCCAGTTTAACAGACACAATAGTCCGCACTAGCATGGTGTACAATGCCAGTTTAACAGACACAATAGTCCGCACTAGCATGGTGTACAATGCCAGTTTAACAGACACAATAGTCCGCACTAGCATGGTGTACAATGCCAGTTTAACAAACACAATAGTCCGCACTAGCATGGTGTACAATGCCAGTTTAACAGACATAATAGTCCGCACTAGCATGGTGTACAATGCCAGTTTAACAGACACAATAGTCCGCACTAGCATGGTGTACAATGCCAGTTTAACAGACACAATAGTCCGCACTAGCATGGTGTACAATGCCAGTTTAACAGACACAATAGTCCGCACTAGCATGGTGTACAATGCCAGTTTAACAGACATAATAGTCCCCACTAGCATGGTGTACAATGCCAGTTTAACAGACATAATAGTCCCCACTAGCATGGTGTACAATGCCAGTTTAACAGACACAATAGTGGTGCGTAGTGTAGTGGGTGGTGTAGCACGTGTGTACTCTGTGTGTGCGTGCGCCTGGGTATACATGTGCGTTGTAGACAGGGGACAGGACATGCTAACGGTCGTCGCGGTGACCGTGTCTGAACACTCGCGAGAGCTTTGAAATTATAAAACGAAATGTTGTAAATATTAAAAAAGTCGTATATATGCAACAGTAAATAAGACATGTCAATGCATTATTATTATTGCGGGTTTAAAAACTAAAAAATTGATGGAAATATTTCTGAATTCAGATGATATAATGTTGAGGTATAGTTTGAGACTTCAAACACTGCCA